GGGCTGGAGGGTGGGGTGGGGGTGGGGTGGGGACAAGACAGACCTGATTCCTACCTTCACAGAGCTTACATTCCATTGGGCTTATCAGCAAGCAAACAAATGAGTCACTAAATGATTTACAGACCGAATTGCCATGGGGGCAATAAAGGGGCACCGTGGTGGGGAAGATGGCAGCAGCTGTGGGCAGGTAGGAGAGGCTCGCACTTTCGGAAAAGCAATCATGGAAGTTTCTAGAAACACGACTTTCACTGGGATCTTCTGGTTACAAACCTAGAACTTTACTGGGGTTAGAAAATGGGTGCTGCTGACCCTGCTGAGGCCACCTGACTCTGGTCCCCGCAAGGCTGCCTCCTTCCTCTCAGGACCCATTCTTCAGGGCTCAGGGACTCTGAGTGGAGCCGGGGGATGCCCCCTGAGGAGCAGAGCATGACTTCGTGATAGAACAGTGTTCGGGATCATTGATTTGTGGTTTGTAACAAGACCCAGGCCTTGTCTAGACACTGTCCCCCACCCATCAAGGAACATTCGAGATTTTTTTATCTTGGAGCGTGCAGACACTAGTGCTTCTTTCTCTTTCCTGGTCCTTCAGAACTGGCTGCTTGTGGAAACACCCATCCCAGGTCCACCTGCTGACTGAAGCAGCTCTAGGGAAGGGCCCTGGAATCTGGGTTTTAGTAAATGGTGGGGAGAGGAGGGGTCCTGTGCTCCAGATAACTGAGGAATCCGGCATGGATGGAAGAAATCTGTGCAGGCCCTGGCCGGGTAGCTCAGTTGGTTAGAGTGCCATCCTGATATACCAAGTTTGCAGGTTCAATCCCCGGTCAGGCACATACAGGAATCAACCAACGAATGCATAAATAAGTGGAACAACAAATCGATGTCTCTTTCTTTCTCTGCCCCCCCAAATCAATAAATTAAAATTTTTTTTAAAAGAAAGAAACTGGCACTCGGCAGCACCCATGCCTCTTTGTGGGGCTGTGGAAACCATAGATATTTTTTCCCTGTGACTCCAGAGTGTGGCCCTGACTGAGTTTTGTGATTTAGCGACCTGTTAACGTGCCAGTAGCAGCTCCCCTCTTCCACAGCCTGGCCCTTGCCCTTACCTGAAAGGGTCTCCCACCTCCTCTGACCAGAGACCCTCTGCCCCCCGCCCTCCCCATTCAAACACCCATTTTCTCTGAGTTTGCCCCAAGTGCCAGGTGGTGAGGGCCCAGACACTGTTTGCATTTAGTCAAAATCCAAAAGGGCAGGAGGAGGCCTTGTGGGCCATTTCATAACTGCATTTTCACCCCGTTGTCTGGCCTGAGCAGACCTGGTTGGAATAGTGGGAGACTGGGGATGGGGAGGTGGGTGGTATCTAGAACCCAGGGGAAGCCTTGGAGGGTGGTGAACAGGTCAAGTTCAGTCACATAAAAACGAATCACACCTTTTACAGTTAGTTTAATTTCATGTAAAACGATGGGTGGAGGTGCCATTTGCATCCCGGAGCTGGCCCTCCCCTGGTCAAAATGAGGAAGACAGTTAGGGGAAGCTCGCCGGAGAATCTGGAGCCAGCCAGACTGGTGTGGAGCCTAATCCTTGAGGGGTGGGACTTGGTTTACCTTCCTGTCCCATAGGACGTCCGAACCCCTGAGGCTGCCTTTGAGGGGCTGGGGTGTGTCCGGGTGAGCAGGGCCCTCCCTGGACGGCCAGCGTTGTGCTTACTGGGAGTGGAAGGAGGCAGGCCATGGGTGTGTCCTGCTCTAGTATCCAGCAGGGGTGTGTGTGGAGCTGGCTGGACACCTGTGACTCCTACTTCTAGGTGGCTCGAGGCAGCCAGGATGTCAGCTCTCCCCAGGAACCCTGCTTCCTGCTGAGAAACATGATCAGCAAGTCCCGTGAGTGTTGTCCAAGAGCTCCCCCCCCGAAAAGTGGGCCCCCTCAGACGTAGTCTTGAGTATCACCCTGGGACCCTGGGGGTTGTGGAGGGACAGATGGGGAGCTGGGGGCTCCTCTCTTCTTCTTGAGGGACACTGGAAATGCCAAGTCCAGGGACTGGGGCAGCTTGAGTTGGGGGTTGCAGGGGCCCAAAACAGGGCAGGTAAGAAGGTGGACTAGGACTGTACCTGCCTGTTTCTGCCTCCAGCTCCTCTATGCATGTGCCCTGCAGGCTGGAAGCTCCTGGCCATGCTGGCACTGGTCCTGGTCATCATGGTGTGGTATTCCATCTCCCGAGAAGACAGGTACATTGAGCTGTGAGTCCAGCTTCCATGTCCTCCCACTGGTTCTTCTCAGGAGCAGGACTCGGGATGGAGCGTCTAGGGTGGGGACAGAGTGGGACAGGAGGGTTCCGAGAGCCTGAGCATGACCTTTAACTCTTAGCGCTAAATTCTTCCAGGGGGTAGGTGGTGGGTTTGGGGGGTAGGGTGTGGGATGACTCCCCAGGCCCTTGGCCAGAGAGGGTCAGGAGAAGGAAGAGCTGGATCCTCAATGATTTGGTTTCAAAATGGAACTTGGATTGAGATGATCCCACCCTGAAAGTCACTTTCCAGCACCCGGGAGGAGGTAGAGGCCCGGCCCCTGGTCTGACTGGAGCTTCTGCCTCTTCTTTTCTGTCCCCAGTTTTTATTTTCCAATCCCAGAGAAGGAGGAGCTGTGCCTGCAGGGTGAGGCAGAGAGGAAGGTCTCTAAGCTCTTTGGCAAGTAAGTAATTGAGGCTGAGGTGGGTGGGGCAGGGCCTGGGGTGAGCTGGGGTTGAGGGTTTCACAGAGTGGGGGGCCTCGGTGCCAGCCGGACGGAGGGACTGTGTTGGTGGACATGGGTTAGGTGAAGGCAGTGAAGGAGGGAACGGCCCTTGGACATGCGTATAGAATATTAGCAGGGACCTGACCCTGATTCTGACCCTTTCGTAACCCCACTCTGCTCTCGCTTCTGTGCAGCTACTCTCGAGATCAGCCCATCTTCCTGCAGCTTAAGGATTATTTCTGGGTCAAGACAACCTCTGCCTACGAGCTGCCCTTTGGGACCAAGGGGAGCGGTAAGTACTGGCCGGTGTTGTGGAAACGGTGGGCTCTTCTGCCACCCTCTTCTTAGTTTTGGCCATCCACAGCCCCAGCGCCCAAGTTCTCAGCCAGGCTCTGATTCGGGGGGCAGGGAGGAGAAGGCAGGAGTGGAGGGGGGACAGCGGCAGCCTTTGGAACGCTGGCTATTGTCCTCAGCCCCTTCCAATCTGTTCTCTTTGTAGAAGACCTGCTCCTCCGGGTGCTAGCCCTCACCAGCTACTCCATTCCGGAGAGCATCCAGAGGTAAGGAGACTGTCCTCTCACTCCAGGCCCTGTGCCTCTCCTTCCCGCCCCAGTGAGAAATAGTCATGGCCCAACGCCTCCCATTGAGCTTCCTGCCTCTGGTCCCCTGTGGCTAATTTGACAAGTCTTCCTAGCCTGCCCTGTCTCCAGGGGACGCAGGTAGTCGGTCCCCACAGCAACTGAGCCTGGGCAGCTGGCTGCTGGGGCAGGCAGAGGCTGCTGAGGGTATTGCCGTGGCAACAGGCAGGCCTCTGCAGCAGGCGAGGGGGCTCCAAAAGGGGGCTCCTTACTGCTACCCCTCAGTCGTCTTCGCTTCTCCCCTCCTCCCTCTTCTGTGCTCTGCTCAGTTTCCTCTCTGGTTACAGAATCCAGGGCTCAGAGTCAGCAGGGCCATAAGCAGGACTCCTTGCAGATGCCTGGTTCATGGGGACCAGGGGCTGAGGGAGCCGGGGGAGGGACTCTGAGCAGGCCAGGGAGACCCAGGGCAGGAGCAGCACCTGCTTCTGTGCCTGAGTCCCCTCTTCCCCTGGCAGCCTCAAGTGCTGTCGCTGCGTGGTGGTGGGCAACGGGCACCGGCTGCGCAACAGCTCGCTGGGAGATGCCATCAACAAGTATGACATGGTCATCAGGTCTGTATGACCAGCTCTGCCCTCTTGTGTTGGGGAGCGACTGTGGACAGGCCCAGTGGGGCCCTAGGTGACAGCACCCTCCTCCATCCTCCCAGATTAAACAACGCCCCAGTGGCTGGCTATGAGGATGACGTAGGCTCCAAGACCACCATGCGTCTCTTCTACCCGGAATCTGCCCACTTCAACCCCAAACAGGAGAACAACCCCGACACACTCCTCGTCCTGGTGGCTTTCAAGGCGATGGACTTCCACTGGATTGAGACCATCCTGAGTGACAAGAAGCGGGTAGGTGGGGAGATGGGAGGGTTGAGTCCTGGGGGTCAGGCCCTCCCGTGCTGTGATGTCTGCTCTGCAATCCTAGAGCTGGTGAGGGGAGGAGGGAACTCAGTCTTCTGCAGGGCATCTGATGGCCTGCCCGGCAGCCAGGGCCCAAGTGCCTACAGGAGTCAGGTGGGAGCCAAGGGCTCTCCCAAGCTTCAGGCTGCAGGAGCTGGTCAGGAGTCACCTCCAGGCAAGGGGCTGGTCAGGACCATCCAGATCTGGGTCCTTCCAGGCGGTCTTCAGAAAGGCCGTGTCCCTTTGTCATCCAGTCAAATGCTGAACTACCCAGTCTGGCATTTTTGACAAGTGTTTATACAACCCCAAACTCAAGCCCCTCCACCTGTTTGGAGATCCTTAGAAGTGGGAGTGGTTAGACTTTGTACTCTACACACTGCCACCTGGCCTCTCCTGGGGGTCCCTCTTCTTCTCTCTCCCTGCTCCCCTCCCCTGGTCTCCTTTCCTATCTCTGGTGCAGGCCTTCACCTCCCTCTCCTCTCACCCTGGGGGTCTCTGCCATCTCGTGGACTCCGTCCCCTGGCTGAGGACTACCAGGCTGGCCTTGGCAAACAGGTCTTCACCCATGCCCACCTCTTCCTTCCAACTTCATCCTCCAGGTGCGAAAGGGCTTCTGGAAACAGCCTCCCCTCATCTGGGACGTGAACCCCAAACAGGTTCGGATTCTCAACCCCTTCTTCATGGAGATCGCAGCTGATAAACTGCTAAGCCTACCAGTGCAGCAGCCACGCAAGATCAAGCAGGTGACAATGTGACCACTGGGCAGGTGGAGGGTCGCGGTTGCGGGTGGGAAGTAGGTAGGAGGGTCCTAGAGACTTAGGAAGCCGTAGAGGACCCCATGAGAGGGGAGGGTAGTAACAGAGATCACAGCTCCCATCTGAATAGCACCTGCTACAGCCGGGGGACCACAGCCTTCAGGGACACCTGAAATCAGGTTCACTAGCTTGCCACAGCCAGGGAGAGCAGGAGCTTGGGAACCATGAGGCGTCCCCAAAGTGGAGTTATGGGAGGGTACTGACAGGGCTTGGGGCTGGAGTTAGAGGATGGTTTTGGCAGGCGCTGGTCAAAATTTGTAAACTGGGGCGTTGCTGAGACAGTCCTAGTCTTATCTTTAGAACAACTCACGCCCGTGCAGTTGCTATTGATCACTGTATCTCTGATCACTGTAATTGATCACTATGTTAACATATAGGTCTGAGTGAGTTAAGAATTTGAGCTTACAGTTTTTCTTGCATATCATGGTCAATTTTTGGAGTCATGATGCAGTTTTGCAAGTTCTGGTTTTGGTTGCAGCTCTCAGTGCCCTTAGTCTTTGGCTGGTAGGCTTTAGCTTGTAGCCTCCCAAGTACTTGCACACGTGTCTTTTGAGCCTCAGAGAGTCTGTGTGGGCAAGTGGACAGAGGTAACCAGCAGAAGTAGACAGGACTCGCTGTACCACTTACTGTGTGGCCTTGGGCAGGTCAACCACTCCGAGCCTCTCTTTTCTTATCTGTAGGGTGGGGATAAAATCAGTACTGACCTTTGAAGGCCATTGAAGGATTTAAAAAGACAATTATGGCCCAGCCAGTGTGGCTCAGTGGTTGAGCGTCTACCCATGAACCAAGAGGTCACCAGTTCGATTCCCAGTCAGGGCACTTGCCCAGGTTGTGGGTCAATCCCCAATAGGGGGCATGTAGGAGGCAGCTAATCGATGTTTCTCTCTCATCAATATTTCTATAACTATCTCTCTCTCTTCTTCTTTCTCTAAAATCAATAAAAACATATTTTAAAATATATTATATTTTTTAAAATTTATCTTTATTGTTGAAAGTATTATAGATATCCCCCCTTTTTTTTGCCCCATTGATCCCCTCCAACCCACATCCATGCCTCCCCAGTGTTTCACCACACTATTGTCTGTGTCCATGGGTTATGCTGAATGCACATAAGTTCTTTGATTGATCTCTCCCCACCCACTCCCCCACTCTTGCCTTCCCACTGAGATTCATTAGTCTTTTCCATGCTTCTATGTCTCTGGATCTATTTTGTTCCTCAGTCTATTTTGTTTATTAGATTCCACATATGAATGAGATCATGTAAAACTGAATCCGGAAGAATCAGAAAACCCGAGTAGGCCAATAGCAACTGATGCAATCGAAGCAGTAATAAAAAACTCTTAGCAAACAAAAGCCCTGGTCTGGATGGCTTCACGGGGAAGCTTTCTAATTATTTAAGTTGTAGGGTTAGATAGTTTATTAAAAATGTTTCTTGCTTTTGAGGTGCTATGAACTTCCCTGTCAGGACTGCTTCTGCTGTGTCCCATAGATTTTGGGTTGTTGTGTGTTCATTTCATTTGTTTACAGGAAGTTTTTGATTTTTTTCTTGAACTTATTGGCAACCCATTCATTCATTGTTTAATAACATGCTATTAAGCCTCCATGTATTTGACTGTTTTTGAGTGTTTTTACTCTAGTTGATTTCTAATTTCATGCCATTGTGATCTGAGATGTTTGATATGATTTCAATCTTCTTGAACTTGTGGAGACTGGTTTTGTGTCCTAACATGTGGTTTGTCTTTGAGCATGACCCATGTGCACTTGATAGGAATGTATATTCTGCAGCTTGGGGGTAAAATGTTCTGTAAATATCAATTAAATCCATCTTATCTAGTGTGCCGTTTAGTTGCTGTTTCTGTGTTGACTTTTTGTCTGGAAGTTCTAGCCAGTGAAGTCAGTGGGGTGTTAAAGTCCCCGACTATGACTGTATTGCTGTTGATCTCTCCTTTAAAGTCTTTACAATTATTATTGAGAGGTCATTATTTATTGCCATTTTAATTCTTTATGCCTATGTTTCTCTATTTCCTATTATTATTACAGCAGTCCCTTTAACATTTCTTGCAATGCTTCTATTTCTATTTCTAATTATAGAATTCCCTTTAACATTTTCTGCAGTGCTGGTTTGGTGGTGATAAACTCCTTCAGCCTTTTTTTTTGTCTGGAAAGCTCTTTATTTTACCATCTATTGTGAATGATAACCTTGCTGGATAGAGTATTCTTGGTTTTAGATCCTTGCTTTTCATTACCTTGAATACTTCATGCCATTCCCTTCTGGCCTATAGAGTTTCTGATGAGAAGTCAGCTGACAACCTTATGGGCGCTCCTTTGTAGGTAACAAATTGCTTTTCTCTTTCTACCTTTAATATTCTGTCTTGAATTTTTAGCATTTTAATTATGATGTGTCTGGGCATGAGCCTGTTTGGATTCTTCTTGCTTGGGACTTTCTGTGCTTTGTGAACTTGTGTGACTTTTTCCTTCACCAGGTTAGGGACGTTTTCTGCCATTATTTCTTCAAACAGGTTCTCTAACCCTTGCTTACTTGCTACCTCCTCTGGCACTCCTATGATGCAAATATTGTTACATTTCATGTTGTCCCACAGCTCCCTTGGACTGTCCTCCTGTTTTTTCTTTTTTCTTTTTGGGTCTCTGATTGAGTGATTTTTTTTCTACCCTGTCTTCTAATTTGCTGATCTGACCCTCAGCTTCCTCCAATCTGCTGTTCATTCCTTCCAATGTATTCTTTATTTCTGCTATGTCATTCTTCATTTCTGGCTGGTCATTTGTTATAGTTTCCATATCTTCTTTCATGCTGTTGAGCATCCTTACAATCAGTATTCTGAACTCTATATCTGATAGATTGCTTACCTCCATTTCATTTAGCTCTTTTTCTGGAGACTTCTCTTGTTCTTTCATTTGGGGGTTGTTTTCTTCTCCCCATTTTTGGCTGCCTATTTGGGTTTGTTTCTGTGTATTAGGTAGGCCTGCTAGGACTCTGTCTTTTTGGAAGGTCTCTGGTGCAGGCCAATATCAGACTCTCTTTGTGACTGACCTTGAATACCCTGTTTGGAGCTATCAACAACCCACGGCTTGAGGTTCCCTCTGTTGGGACTGGGTGCATTTGGACAGGACCAAGATGCATACCAAAGTCAGCTTTTCCAAGGCTTGGGTCCAGAAGCAGATCAGGTAAAGACTCAAAGCATTCTGAGATCTGCCTCTGCCTGCAGGCTGATTAATCTGATTCTCTTAATGAGCCTCAGGCTGTACAAACTCCATGGGGTAGGGCAAGAGGTTTTCCAGCAGGGTGGGGCAATTGCTTCCTCCTCAGGCAAAAGCTGCTTGGAAGGTAAATGTCTGCCTCTGCCATATGGGGGAATGACTCAGCACAGGAATCCAGAGGTGGCCTCTGAGCTCTATCTCTAGAGCCCACAACCCTAGACTCTCCTCACACAGCTCCAGTCCACTCTGCCCACCCCCTGCTGGAGCTCAAGGTGAGTGGCTGCACACGAAACTTTGTGCGTTGGCTCTTTAGGTGGGTGCCTGCATTTCCAGCTCTTTCTTCCTGACAGAAACCCGGCTGCTTTTCACAGCCAGATGTTATGTGGGCACCTTTCTCAGTTCTGGTGCTCTTGGCTGGGAAGCCCAGCCTGGGGTTTAGGCCCCAGAGTCCTCAGTGGGAACCCCCTCAGCTGAGATCTCCCTCAGGACCTTCAGCTGCTGTCTGTGGGAGCCCGGCCAGCCTTCTCAGGCCTCCATCCCAGTCTCTGGGGTCTCCGCTTTTCCTCCTTGGTTTCCTCCTCTCCAGCTCGTCTTCAGTTGCAGTGGATTATTCAGGATGGTTTGCCTATGTTTTAGTTNACCAGTCTCTGGGGTCTCCGCTTTTCCTCCTTGGTTTCCTCCTCTCCAGCCCGTCTTCAGTTGCAGTGGATTATTCAGGATGGTTTGCCTATGTTTTAGTTGTAATTCCAGTTTGGTCCCAGGAGAGTGTCAGTGTAGCTTCCACCTAGTCTGCCACCATCTTTAATCTCCTCCTTTAAAAGATTTAAAAAGCTAATTATGTAACAGGCCCATCATGGAGATTGGTACAACACAGTGGGTGCTCAATAAATGTTAGCCAAATTTGGAGTAAATGACTTTATTATTTGCTGAGTATCTACTGTGATGCAGCTTCAGAAATTGAATGCGTGCTTTTGTGACCACTCTGTGCCCAGCCCCAAGTATGCATGCGGGGAGTGAGTCACGCTCCGTGCCCTGAGGGTACTTGGGCTAGCAGAAAAAAGACACAGGTAGCAGCAAGGAGGAGCAAATGCCCCAGCAGAGAGTTGTTCCAAGTGCTGCGGGATCTCAGAGAAGGGGCAGGCCTCTGTGGGGCTGTTTCGGAGCTCCCCTTCCCACCCCTAGGAGGAGGTGGTGATGCTGGATTGGGCCTTGAGGGGTCATAGGGCCCATCAGGCAGAGAACTGGGGAAAGGTATGTCGTTTGACAATACCAAACACTCTCCTGGCACTGGGTTCTGTTGCACGTGGAGTTGCAGAGGCAGCCTGGAAGGGGTTTTATGCCCCGATGGTGCGTGAGGCAGGAGTGAAGGCTGGAGAGGGAGGCGAGAGAAAGGAAGGACCAGAACCCAGCTGCTGTGGTGGGAAGGAAAACAGAACGGATGGGCTTGACCTGTATACATTTCCTGTCACTGCCTAGTAAATTACCACAGTTTAGTGGCTTAAAACAACACCATGTATCCACTCATGGTCGCGTAGGTCAGAAGTCCAGCACAGGATGGCTGGGTCCTCTGCCTAGGGTAGGAATGCAGGTCCCCCGCTATCGGAAAGGAAAGTGTCCCTTCGAAATCTTTCATAAGCAATTACCATCGATGTCTAATCGAAACGCTTACTTACATCCAGTTTTATGCTAAGTTTTTAACACCCTTGTGAGCTCCCTTAGGCTTTTCTGATACCTTCGGACACATCTTGTTAACGGGCACGCAGAATAAATTGGGATGAAGGCCAGATGCTCAGACACAGTTCAAAGCTCTGGCAGCTGGGTGCTGGGTGTGGTTCTCAGGGAAGGAGCTTGGCGGGGCCACTCGCTGCAAAACAAATGCTGAACGCTATGTTTGCTTTCCACCTTTTTTCATAAAATTAAAAAAAAAAAAGCCTCTTCAAATTTCTTCTGGTTAGCGAACACAGGTACTTTTGTAGGGCTTTTGTAAAAGCAAAGTGGTGTAACACAAACTTTCAAAAAGCAGAGAATACCTGTTCCAGGCTGGAATGGAGCAGGCCGCTGGACTGAGTTCGTCTGGAGGCTGGGGGCAGGGGAGGGAGGTTCACTTCCAGGCTCATTCTTGTGGGAAGAATTCAGTTCCCTGTGGTAGCAGGACCAAGGTCCCGTTCTCTTGCTGGCTCTCAGCCGGGGTAGCGGGGAGCACCTTCAGCTCTTGGAGGCTGCTCCTGTTCCTTGCCCTGTGCTCCTCTCCATCTCCAGACCCGCCCCAGCATGATAAATCTTTCTTGTGTTTCCCATCTCTGACTCCCTCCACTGTTCAGCTCTAGACCCAGATGTACAAGCTCATGAAATTGGGTCAAGCCCACCAGGATTATCGCTCTGATGGTCAGCTGTGCCATCTAAAGCAGTGTAACTTAATGTAATATATCTCATCTTAGCCATAGTTTCCACACACACCCAAGGGCTAGGGTCCTTGGGAGTGGCCTTCAAATTCTCCTGCTACAACATTTACTTTTCAGGTGCAATCGAGACATTTATGACAGTTCTAGGTTTCCAACTTGGACAACTGGGTGGGCGATAATATGTGTAACTAATATAGGGAATGGGGTGGGGAGGGGAGTTTGGTGAGATTCCGGAGCCCTGTCCAGGCAGAGCTGGCTAGAAGGCGATGGAAATGTGGTTCGGCGAAGGTCTGAACTGGATGAGTTAACACAGTGGTGGTTAAAGCAACAGGGGGAAACGGAAGGCCTGGGCAGGAAGTGACAGATGAAATGATAGCAGAGCTCAGAAAGATGCTGGGAAAACCTCGGCTTCAGGAGGCCTGGCCGGCTGAAGTGGTCTGGACGGTGGAGCTGAGGAAGGCAAGATGTGTGAAGTTAGGACAGCAGGCTGTCCATCTCTGTGGACGAATTTGGGATGCAGCCCATAAGGTAGATGGGAAAGTCTTGCCATCCCCACTTTACAGAGGGGTGAGCCCACCTCATAAAGGGCACACAGTCTGTGAACGTGGGGTCCCAGACTTCTGAAAGTGGGGAGGTTCTCCAAGGCTCAGAGCAGAACCTTTCCACTCCTTAGGGAGTTGCTTACCAGTTGTAAGCCTCAGTTTCCCCATCTGTACAATACAGTATGGTAGCTACGAGCCACATAATTGCAGTTAAATGAAATTAAAAATTCAGTCCCTCGGCTCCATGAGTCCCATTCACTCGCTCAGTCACCAGCTCTGCTGGTGGCTGCCATACAGGACAGCACAGAAGGCCACCTCCAGGACAACAAAGTGCTGTTGCAGAGCATTGGCCTGGAAGATGCTGGAAGGAGCGGGGCTCCCTCTAATACCTTCCTCACCCCGTGTCCNTGCTCAGTCGCCAGCTCTGCTGGTGGGTGCCATACAGGACAGCACAGAAGGCCACCTCCAGGACAACAAAGTGCTGTTGCAGAGCATTGGCCTGGAAGATGCTGGAAGGAGCGGGGCTCCCTCTAATACCTTCCTCACCCCGTGTCCCTCAGAAGCCCACCACAGGCCTGCTGGCCATCACCCTGGCCCTGCACCTTTGCGACGTGGTGCACATTGCTGGCTTTGGCTACCCAGACGCCCACAACAGGAAGCAGACCATTCACTACTACGAGCAGATCACACTTAAGTCCATGGCGGTAAGTGGCCCCTGCCTGCAAGTTGGGTGGGGCAGACCAGCCTGGGACACTGGGTGAACGAGGGGGGCCAGGCGCCCAGAGGTGGCTCACAGTGAGGTCACTTAGGGTCAGAACTGGCACCAAGGCACCTAGGTTCCCAGGCCAGTGTCCTCTGTATTTGGCCACACAGATTTTCTTCCTTCTGAGAGGCAGCACAGGGAAGGGAGATCCCAGGGTTTGGGATTGTGGGGAGGGCCAGGGACATCCCTAGCAGCCCCTCAGTTTCCTTCCTTGGCTGTCTCCACAGGGGTCGGGCCACAATGTCTCCCAAGAGGCCCTGGCCATCAAACGGATGCTGGAAATCGGAGCAGTCAAGAACCTCACTTACTTCTGACTTAGGCAGGAGCTGTGCCCATTGGTCTTCCCACTTTGCTGCCTGAGCTACTCCCAGCCATGGCGATGGGGGTGCCTGGTGCCAGTATGACCAGCTTGGATTCCCCCTTGCCTGTCTGGGGAGGGGTCCCAGGACTGGCCAGGTCTGAGAAGAGACCGTGGCCCTGGCTGCTCTTGTGGAGGCCTGATCTAGTCGGGGTGCAGACCCTAGGGTGATGGGAGCCCAGCGGACGAACGAGGCTCATTGCTGTGACATCTGCCTTTCAGCACCGGGAGGTTATTTAATGGGCTATTTAATCAAGGGGAAGAAAGTGCTGTGGGCTGGTCCCATGCCATCCAGAAAAAGGGGCATATACAGTGTTCGACCACTTTTTATAAAAACACAAAAATGATGGGCCCACTAAGGCCTAGACCCAGAGCAGGCCTCCCAGGAGGGGAGTCGTCTGGAATGGGTGGGTGTCCTCCAGAGAGGGGCTGCTCCTCCCGGCGGGCCTGGGAAGAGCAGTGCCAGGGATGTTCCGTGGAGAAGGGAACCTCATCTAAGAAAGAGGTACCAAACAAATTAAACTATTTTTCCTAAAATGAAGCAGTTGTGATACCAGGTGTCCTTTCAGATTGGGGAGGACATGGATGGGAAAATGGGATGCAGCAGTGGGCCCCTCTCCTGGCAGTGGACAGGCTTTAGTTAAAGACCCAGTGGGACCCAGGGCAGGCCATGGTCATTTAGGAAATTTATTTTTGAGTATTAGTACTTGGTGCCAAGTCATACATTGTCACCTTGGTGTAGCAGGCAAGCAAGTGGTGCCCAGAGCAGCCCTGTCTGCGGACACCCAGCTGGCATCCTGCACCCTGGTTTTCTTCCCAGAGGTGGGGGGAGGGGGATGCCAGATGAGAGGGGCAGAACCCTCTCCCACCTTCCTCTGCTCTCTCACCAGCTTTTAGTTTCCAAAATCTCATGCTGGGAGATGACTGTTTGAGGACAGGGGTGGAGTCAGACAGAAACAGCCAAGTTTTCCTTCTCAGATTAACTGGAAATCATAAAATGGAGTTTACAGAGGGTCCTGCCAGTTGCCCCGGCTGCCAAGATCGGGAAGGGCAGGGCCTGGGCAGCCGCTAAGGGATTTGGCAAGGCCTGTCAGCCAGTTGCTCAGGCCAGGGGGTAAAATGTTTTCTTCCCCAGGTCTCTAGAATCATGATAGTGCTGCCATTTGTCCGTCTCTCCCCTTTGTTCTCCATCTTCCCAGGCCCTGCTTAGTTGCCAACTGGGCTTCCTGCCACCCCACAGCTGTTTCTTTACATCTGGAGCCAGGAGGGAGAGCTCGAACTCCCCCCCAGGGAATGGGACTCACAGCTGTGTTCCTGGCTTCCTTGGAAAAAGTTGCAGCCTTGAGGTTTTGAAGCTGGGCTGGTACAGGACACATAGAAAATGGCAGAGATTGGGAGGATCAGAGGAAAATGACACTTCTTGACAGTGTTGGAGTGGCCTGAAGAACACCCACCCTCATCCCACAGAACGGTCCTGAGGACCCTTGCAGGGAACCAGACTGCCTGCTCTCAGAAGCCTGGCTGAATTACTTGCTAGCTGCTCTCCCCCAGGGGATAGGGGGGTTCTGAAAGCAAATAGGGCCTCAGCATCTGCAGCCCCACACAGGCTTTTGCAGGGGGTCGGTGGGGGGAGTTGTTCATTTTGCTGAGGGGTATGAGCAGGGGGACAGGGATCTCAGCTCTGCTTCTCCCCGATGCCTCCCCAGCTGCTTCTCATGGGGGTATGCAAAGGAGTGTCAATTTCCCCATCCAGGGCCATCGAAAGTGGCTGTCAGCACATATGATCCAGCTGTCCTAGACTGGGGTCACTGCCTGTTACTGAAACATGCCTAAACTTGAGCCAGAATCCAATACACATGGATGGGTCAGGCTCTCCAGATCCACACGCACACACACAGATAGACACGGGAGCATTTTACGTTCTCGTTGGGCTCCGCCTGTGACGGCATACGCAGACGGTCCTTCCTGATTGCATACAGACAAGAGGCATGTGGGGGTAGGGTACGTATACCCAAACTGTCCACTGCTCCCTTGGCATGTGGGTTCAGCTTTCTCCAGACTGCAGACTGAGGCAACATTGGCCAAAAGTGAGCGCTGAGAGTGGAGCTTTGATGTGGGTGGGGTTCCTTGGTGAACTGAGAGAGGGACTTTCATTCTGCAGTTAGCTCAACAATGTGAATGATCTGCCTGCCAGCCTGCCTGGGACTGATTAAACTGTGCCCTGGACACAGGGCAGGGAGGCAACGGGAGGAGAAAGCGGCAGATGAGGGCAAGTCGACAGTCTGGGTTGTGCACCAGGCTCTGCTACTTAATTATGCAGGATCAGTCACTTCTCCACGTCTGCGAGCTCAGCCAATGAGGACCACTTATGTCAGTATTATCTGGGGGCGATTTAAGAATGCAGATTTTTGGGTCTTACCCAGGCCGCTGGGCTCAGGAGTCTGGAATTTTAATGAGCACTCAGAACCTCGGCTCTAGCAGTCTAGACTCCGGGATGACCTCACGCGCCTTTCTGCGCCTTTCCGCGCCTTTCAACTTCCCAGGCTGCGCGCAAAGCCCATCTTAATCCCCGGCGCCCTGGAGCTGCTGCAGCCAGGCTCAGGCACGGGAGGGGCAGCCAGCCCAGCTGGCCCCTCCCTGGCGGGGCGGCGGGGTGCGGTGCGGTGCGGGTGCGGGTGCGCATGCGCCTTTGCCTGGGCGGGGGACGGGCCTGGCCGCGTGGGAACCTGGCAGGGAATGGTCACTGCTGAGGAGGCCTCTGGGGCTGGGCCTGCCCCCCCCATCC